GGAAGGCATGCATATGGAAGATGTGCCCAAAAACCATATTTGGGTCGGACGTTTTTGTGGGGAGTTGCTACCTTCTTGTTGGGATTGGTTTAATTCAAAAGAAAGCCGAAAGGAAAACCAAATCCATTTTTTGGGGACACCCATATTGGCCAGGCTGCGACCAAAAGTCCATGGTGTTTGATCGCTGGGTTGTTTCTCTTGAAGCCTGCTGCCAGGCAAGGAGCAAGTTGGCAGGTTGCTTTTTTTCTGTCATTCGTTTGGGAGTCCGTTCGCCGAAGACACCAAACATGTCGAACTTTGCGAATCGATCTTGCGGCCTTTTTGTTTTATCGTTGCATAGCAGAATATCGAAAAGGCCAACCTTTTGGTATTGTTTCCTTCTGGTGAGAAAAAGCATGGCATGATATTCCTCGGATTTGCTTGGATTGCGCTCCTTTCAAACCGTGGGCGGCTGCTAGCATGAGGTGTTCAGCTCGGGCTTGTATACTGCGAGTTTGGGCGGCTTGGCCAGTCATGTCTGTTTGGAGTGCGCTTAGCGCTTACACTTCATTCCACGGACACAGCACCTGTATACCAAGAAGATCTTGTTTCTCTTTAAGACCCGCTGTAAGGAGGACCTGCGCTTATGGGATGGCATGCGCCGTTCGAGAGATTGGTCAAAAAGAATACATTCTGTTATGCGTCTGTGTGTTTGTTTTGGGGTACCCTCCCAAGAAGAAACCATGTTTTGTGTGTCCCCCTATTTTGATACATACCTGTTTCGGGGTCGTTGTTGATTCTCACATTCAGTCGAAGCGAATCGGCCTTTGACCGCTGGGCAATTCCGGTTGGCTAATGTGTTATTCACGTTCCGAAATAGTTCACCTTTGCTTCACTGCTCTTGGCATGGTTGTTTGTGTTGCTCTTGTTTTTGGTTCTGTTCATTTATAAAAAACCAATGTGTTTTGCTCACATGCCAAGGATCGGACAGTTTGTCTCTGATCTTGTGGACCCCCCGTAGACCTTGGACTTTGCCATGTCTCTCCACTCACAGTCAGCCATTTGTTCGGCAGATGTGGTTTGCCTAAATTCAGTGCTGGGGCATCCAACACGCGCGGCGCCAGCAAAGAGATCGAGTTGCCGGAGGATCACTGGCTATGATTTTGAATGGGTTCTGGACCCTTCGGTGGACATCATGGTGCGGGCTTTATGCCCACCCACTTTCAATTGAGTTCCCATTTCAGATTGATTGCCACATATTCCCAGGAACCAGGAAGGGATCCTTGTAATTTACCGTGATTTCTGATTGAATTAGTTGTCCTCAGCTTTTGGGTGATTCCACCCAAACATGGAAGCCGCCCTTGTAATTGCTTGCAGCGTGTTTGGTTTACTTCTTTCCTCTAAGGAGCCAGCTACAGACAGTTTTACCGGCAAATTGTCCTGCATTCTGTACAGGCTTCTGTTGTGGGTTCCTTGATCTTCTTACCGATTTGTCGGTCGAGCTCACCTCAAGTTGGCCAATCGATCCCGACGCGACACGCGTTGCGAGGCAAGCCGATAGCACGCATGCTGATGGTGAGTTGAGAGCAATCAATCAGCCCATTTAAAAAAGAAACACGTTTGTGAGTGAGTTAAGCCGTTTGTTGGTGCTAGGGGTGAGTAAAGCCCGGCTTCTGAGCGCTAAGAGCTCTTTACGACATGGCTAAGATGTCAAGCAGGTTAACAACATATGTTTGGCTCCATGCCATGATTGAACTTGCAAAGCTATGGGTCTGTGCCGCAAGAATGGCGCTCCGAGGCTTCTCCTGAAGGGGTTGATGGTGAGCTGCCTTCAAAGGTTGTTTTTTTCTTGTAGGACATGTCGATAAACAAACATCAATCAACATGGAAGTCCATGGAAACCGTCTTCACTGAACAACCATCTGCGGGAACTTGCAAGAGATATCATGTTTCTACATATGGTGCTTCAAGCAAAAAACACAACAAAGACGCATACTTTGCCCGACTCCCATTACGCCCTTGTTTCAAGAATCCCGCGCGCGCTTTGGCGCGGCATGGCCACTTCGGAGCTGCTGGGCGCCTTGACCAGGCCAGACGAGACGCGGAAAATGGCGAAAGACATGCGTTGCTTCCAATGAACGTGAAACCTGACGTTTCGGGGGGTCCCTTTAAAAGGCAAATGGTAGGACACCGAATCCTCAGGTTCCGTGTTAATTGGTGGGAGGGTACCCTGGTACCAACAAGCCATGGAAGTGGGCAGTAGTCTTACCCTCCAAAACCCGCAGCCTCTATGATTGAGGGAGCATGCCAATTTTGGAGGGCGGATCGCAAATGAGCAGACGGTCATCTATTTTGCCACAAAGCAGGCGAGCAAACGAGGTTTAACGAAAAGTGTTCATGCACCAGCCAGGTGAATGTCGACCCTGATTAATCAACCCCCGCTTATTGATAAGGGGGTGCCTGTTTAGCGTTCTTCCAGGAGATGCCCCCAAATTAATAACTGGTGGGGAGGGGTTTATTAGTTTGGGTCGACATGGGTGGTTTTGAAGTGCACAGCTACCCTAATAACTCTGCAGCTCATAATATTGCGGCCGAATAGAGCCGAAAGAGGTGCCTAATAGTTGCCTTGGATAGTTTGACGTCGAGCCGGGGAAGTTGTATTGCCCCCCCTATTTTGGCGACAACGGACGAAATTCCAAGGGCAACTAGCTACTATGGATTTGGGGGTGTCTCGTTATTTCCGATGAGGCCGTCTTTAAGGGCAACACTGCAAACAGCCACCTCAAAAAGTGTGAACCAACCACCAAGCAATCCAACAGCGACAGCTGTCGGGTCTAAGCGCCGACCCTGATGTCGGGGCGGCTTTGACGTTGCGAGTTCCGGTTGCACGTTGCGGGCGAGCCAAAGTTGGGCGATATTAAGGGATCCTTTAGGCGTTTTGGCGAGGGAACGCACCGGAACAAGGGATGGGCCCTATGGAATAGACCAACCCGACAAGGTGCCCTCCCACCCACGCTGCCATGGAATCTGATAGGCTTTTCAGAGGACATTTTGCCTAACGTTCTCTTAGATTCCATGCGGGGAATGAGAGGGAGGATACTAATTTCAGGAAGTTCAGAATGGAGGCTATGGAAGCACCTAGGTCAGCTGAGCACCTTCAGCTTGCCTCGCATACCACATTCTGAGACCTGATTTCCTCTGAAACGCCTTCTGTCAGATTCCAACGTGGGTCGGTGCGGATATCCTCCCTTTTGATTACCCACAAAAGTGAAGCATTCCCACAAAAGAGAAGCATTCCGCCCCTGCTCAACCATGGTTTATTAATCCGGGTTACTGTTGGTTTTCATGTTTGCTCAGTACGAACCGCCGGAAGGCCTACGGCTTCCAGTCTTGACATTCCATCTCTCTTGGCCGTTCAAAGGCTTAATCATTCCCATGGGTTGGCGGACGGATCGGTCCCTTGGTTACTTTTGTTCCGGACAGCTATGGGGTCTCGCGCTCGCTTTTGTTGTGGCGGCCGAAGGTTCCTGGAATCGGAACTAGACTCGGCAAAGGAGCCACCCTAGAAACACGTCGGCACAAGGGCCCACTTCGACACAAAGACTTCGACACAAAGGCTTGCCTAACGAATTTGGGTCATGCCTCCCAAACCCCGTAGTTGAAATCCCTGTGGTTCAACAGGGTTGGATAGTTGGTTCACATTTCGCTCCTAAAAGTCCATACCACACGGCGGCATCTCCAGGCGGAAGGAGCTTGCGGAAACGCAGGGCTCCGTGTTCGAGGCGCGGAGGGGAGAGGGTCGCTCTCACTGCAGGTTCCATGTGGGTTCTTGAAATAGGATGTGGACTCCCCCAAATGGGAGCAAGCATTTCCGTTCGGTTTCCCGAGAAAAAAAACATGCCAAAAATGGGTGGCCTCAACAAAACGACATGCCCATGCGAGTTTTCAGGGGGGAAGGACATTTGCTCGCTCAGCTTTCAGATTCCATAGAGTTTCTTTGCGGGCCGCGCACGTTACTTTTTTGAGAGGGACCACCTCAAAATGGTCGGTAGGAATTCATGAATTCCCACCTAAATCATGTCCAAGGGTCCGGGACCCATGAAAATTCACACTTAGTATGGAGTTTCGAGAGATTAATGACATACAAACAACTCAACTTTTAGCAAGGGATCAAGGAACCACTGAGGTGAATCAATAGCAACAGGGGTGTTCTCCTAAAAAGTGAAGGATTCCCTCTGAACTTTTTGAGGAGACCGTTTTTGTGGAGAACACAGGATTTGTCACCTCACAGTTTGTCGACTTCAAACGTTTTTGGGAGACCATTTGAAATGGGGCATCCAGATAAATCCTGCCCTCCCTTCCCTCCCTTCCCTCCCTTCCCTTCCCTTCCCTCCCTCCCTCCCTCCCTCAGGGCGCCTGAGAGAGGTCCTTTTTGGAGGAAATTGACCCTCCAGGGACCTCCCACATATGAAACGTCTTTGGATTTGCAGACCCTTGCCCTCCCATACCTCTGGGGTGTAAAGAAGTGATTGGTGACCAGAATAGCAAGAGGCTATGAAGAAATGCAGTGGATGAATCCACGGAAATTGTCGGACATCTGGATGAGCCACCTACCAAGTGGTGCAAAGTGGATTTCCATCCGCAGCATGTTGAAGCTCAAGAAAGATGGAAGTGCACAGACCCTCATTGAAAATTTCCATTGACCCTCACACCTGGTATGGACGGCAGCTCAGAGAGCCGATTGCAAACCCGCATTTTGCAGGTTGTTTCTTAAACGCCACACCTCCCCGCGTCCCTGATCGATGTTTCGAGATACATCAGTCAAACACGGTAACAACAAGTAGAGAGACAACTTTGAATGAGTTGAGTTTCCAGTCAAGCCTGCCAAAAGGAGCTCGGGACCCTTGCAAACTTGGAACTCGTGCACAACTAGTTAGTCTCTCTTTGAGCGTCCCTGATCGATGTTTCGAGATACATCAGTCAAACACGGTAACAACAAGTAGAGAGACAACTTTGAATGAGTTGAGTTTCCAGTCAAGCCTGCCAAAAGGAGCTCGGGACCCTTGCAAACTTGGAACTCGTGCACAACTAGTTAGTCTCTCTTTGAGCCGTCAAACGTAAAGGCTCGAGCTTGTTTTGATCCGGATGGGAATTCGAGGTCTCCTTGACATGGGCCGAGTCCTAGCTAATGGCAGTGAATCCAAGGAAGCAGTTGCCCCTGTCCTATCTAGGGGGCAAGACCACAGGATGGGTTCATTGACAGCCAATTTCACATGTCCGAGATCTGTCCCGCTTTTGGCGATTTGGGTAGGGCGATCATTCCCACAGACTGTTGAGCCCATCTATCAGAATCTTAGCATTCTTATCAGAAGGCTTAGAAGTATTCGCTTGCACTTCTGAACTGCAGCAATACAATACATGCACGCCGATTTTGCTGATAATTTTTGGGGGACCCTCTTGGTCGGTTCCATGTTGGTTTTCAGGGTCTCAGATATCAGTGGGCACGCGGTTGGAGCAGAACCCCTGATTTTGATTGGGGGGTGTTCAATTCCCTTTTGTGGGGATTCGCCACTTTTGGAGGGAACACGCCCCGATTAATCATATGGCGGGGTTATTAATCCGGGGTCACCATTAAAAGCCAAGGGCTCTTGCAATTGTCCACGGAGTATTGCTTGTTGACTCGAAGCACGGCACTGCTGGGTGCTAAGTAGCCGACATGTTCTAGATTTAGGAAGCCCAACGGGGATGGGTATGATTTTCTTCGTTTGGATTTTTCCAGATCCCCTGTTTAGCATGTCTGGTCAGTTTCGGGTCAAACTCGGCCACCCTCCCGATGCTCTCAAGGCTTCTCCTCAAACCTCGGCCGCGGATGTGGCATGGGCCAGCATCCAAGAGAGGTCGGTGGTGCCTTTTGTTTGTCCTTGTGTTGGAGGGTTTGTCCCTTTTGCCGGCAAGAAGAGTACCCCGTCATGGCCACGTCTTCCCACAAATGAAACCCAGAGGACCGCTCCGATTATTTTGGGAACCGCGCAAGTGGACATGAATCCGCACCATGTCCATCAATGAGTCTGTGACCCATCAAAAATCACACCCGTCGTGGTGTCTGGTTTCATGCTGCGCTGAGCTTATGGTCTGCCAAAGTATTTTGTGAGGCTAAGCCTATGACTCACCAAGGGGTCAGGTTTACGGTACCAACCCCCTGAACCATCTAAACTCACTTCCTGTGGTCATGGACTTTCCTTCGAACACCTTCTAACAGGGTATGTGTCAAGCCAAGGTGACAAGCAGGCACCCAAAAGAGCGTTCCCTTTTTGGGGGTATCTTTCTTTGAGGGTACCATTTGTTGGGGTGCTTTTTGGGAAAACAAACCGCGCCCAGTTTGGGGGGTCGAATTTGAGACACTTTCCATCCCACTCAAACCACCTAAACCCATCGTAACCCTACCTATCTTTGAGCAACACCCAGGTCCAAGGCCAACTTTTGGGGAATTTCCAAGGACCAGCGCCACGCCTCTCAGTTCACACCGCGGGGGCAGCACAGATTGCAGGGCGCCCGAGTTGGGGGCAGCAAGTGGCACAGGGTTCCCTATATATATATATATATATATTGTAGCCGGAAAGGGTGCCCTCCAAAAAAGACACCCATGGCTATGAATTCTAAGAGTTGGAACCAGCTCAAAAATGTTTGGTGGATATGAATCCCAACCTAAACTATACCCACCAAAGGGCGGAGGGAAGTTTATGGGGTCACCGTTTGGTACCATCTTATTTGTTGGCCCTTGACTGAAATGATGACCAAAGAACCGATTTAAATCCTATAGGTCTAGTGTTGAACGTTGACCAATCCCCAATTGACATTAATTTGCTTAGGTCAAAGTTGGGTGGCTTGACTTGACATCCTGAACTTACAACAGGTAGCAATCAACAGGGAACTATCTCGTATCGTCGTATCCCTTAGCTGGTCGCTTGGATTGGTGGCTTGAGTGTCCCTCAGTTGAGGTTGGCTTTTAGCCGTCAGGGGTCAGTTCTCGTTGCAGTTCAGCGTGTGGCTTTGTGCTGCCTTTCCGGGCGATGCAGATTGCAGTCCTGGACATTGGCGTTTGTATCTGTGCTACACGCCACATTAATTAATAGTAAGGGGGCAATACACGTTGTTTTTCTGGTTGTATCACGGACAGTGGTTTGGCGAAAGCCGATCTTTTGCCCATGACGGGAGCAAGCTGGTCTGGAACCTGCGCTTCCTGGAGTTGTTTTCAGGTCTGAGATGTGGGTCTTCCTTCTCACGTGTGGCGCTGGGCCTCCGCCATTGTTTGTATCCTCCAGTCTTGCCCTGAGCCGTCTCTGGCTAGCTATTTTAAAGTGTGAGTGTAATTTGAGTGAGCGAGGGGAAGAATATGTAAGTTGAGGGAGTGCGAGTGAGACTGTTTGAAAGTCAGTGGGTGTAAGTTGAGTGAGTGAGAATCAGTATGTGTAAGTTGCTGAGTGTAAGTTCAGAGCCGAGAGTAAGTACGTATGTGTGCCACGCAAAGCAACAAACGCGTGTAGCCACGCAAGCATCAGAACGTTACAGACTAAAGCACGCAGCCTGCCACGAAATCCAGCCACAGGGTGCCCAAAGTGCTGCACCTGCCACGAAACGAGCCCATAAAATGACCAAACAACCCCTCTAAATTTGAACATTTTTGGGAAATGCTTTTTGCACATGGCTTTCGCCATCTTATGGGTATGGGGGGGGGGGGTCATTGTTGGGATGCAGAAACGATCGATGTGATAGAACTGATTCATAAAGAGGCAGATAATTGGTTGGTTTAGGTCACACCAGTTTTGGAACTGGTTCCATGTTTGAAAGACATGCTTCTTCTTGGGGCCAGCATCAGTCCAAAGTACGTAGACTGCCACGAGATCCACGCAGAGTGCCCAAAGTGCTGCAGCCCACAGCCGACCACCCCGAACCACCCAGTCCAAAGTACGCAGCTTTCCATGAAATCCAGCCGCAGCGTGGCCAAAGTGCGGGAGGGACCTTTTGCAGAACTGGTTGAATCTGATTGGGGAGAATCTGCTAGTAGCATTAGTAGGATGGACTCCAATTATTACAGAGGGTTGCCCGACTCGCTATTCCCAGGACCCAGGGAGCCAAATTCATTCAAAGGCCACCCACAATTTCTCCGTGTGTCAAAGGAAATTAATGCATTCCTCGGCGCTTCCTGGCCAGAGATACCTTCAAGACTGTAGAGAGAGACAGAGCTTTCAAAATCATATGTGACATGACCATCCCCCCAAAGTATGAATTATAAACAACGGATCAACAAATCACGGAGTTCCACATCCGCCACGTTTTTCTTTTTACATACCCATCATAGGTCAAAGGAGGTTCCTGGCTGTCGAGGTTCCATTTTGACCTGCAGAGGTGGGATCCGAATGACTTTCCATGAGGGACTCGCGTGGATTTCGCCCGATCCGGACGAGGCCGGTGGGCAGACTGCCGGCGGAGGCTGCTTGCATCTAGCGGGTGCTTGTGGGAGTGCGGCCGTGGTTACTGGGGTCTCTTCCGAAACTATTTTATTCAGGTAGCCCTGAATTGGTGGTTTGGGGTTCGCCATTGGTTTGATTGTAGAGGGGAGATGGGAACCCCGCTAACCTCCAAACCCCAGTCTAACCCCCCCCCTCAATTCGAGAGAACATGTTTTATTACATGTTAGAGTAGGCTAATAATCTGTTAGTTGAGGTGACAACCGGTTCAGCACCGTGTGTAGAAAAGCTCACAAGCGGGAGGCAATGTGTTGGCTTGCAAAGGGAAGCACTTTGACTGCTTGCTCCTTGCGCAACTGAGGCCCGTTTGACATCCTCTTCTTTTTGGGCCTCGGAAAGTCTTCGTGCTGTAGGCCAAACTCCTCCCCAGCAAGGGAGTCGGCAGAAGAGCCCCGCAGTTCCCCACTAGAAATGACAGAGTTCCCAACTTGTCCCTTGTTTGTGAATTTGAGCTCTACCTTTTCGGAGGGCAACTCTGAAGAAGGAAATATAGGGAACCCGTTTTGGGCAGTTCAATTGCAAGGGCCTTCACTGAATGGTAAGCCAGCCCGGCGACCCGTCAGTTTCCGGGTGTTCAACTTTGGCGTACATTGGTTGGCAGGGTTTTGTTGTTTGATGACCCAAGGGATGGACTGAAACCCAAGGCGTTCCCTTTTGCAAATAATCAGCCACCAGCAACCAATGGGTTAGTTTCTATTGTAAACTCTTCTCGCTGCCCGCCTCGGCCAGGGGCGATTCGATTTAGAGCTTTCTTTTGTTTCCATGCTAACTCCAGGGGCCGTTTACGCTAAAAGGGAACTGAGAAGGGGTTTTTCCAACATCATTTTTGAGCAACCCCGCCCCTGTTTTTTTTGGCAGAGAGAATCCCGGCCCTCCCCTATTTGGGCGGGTCTTTTTGTTAGGGTGCACGTTTTTGGGTGGCGCAAACAGAAAACCAACAGGAAACCACTCATTTTGCAGGGACTTCAGGGACTTCCCCCTATTTTGACACAACCCATGTGCCATTTTAGGGTGCTTGAGGATGTCCGTCTGAATATGCGCGGGTTCTTGGCGGCTTGCACGCATTGATAGGAGGACGAGGAGTCCACTGGGACGATCACGCCTCCGGATGAGAGGCCGCCTCCTGGCAAGGCGCGGAACCTGTGGAGAAGATGGCGCATTTTCTCCCGGTGGATGTGGGTGCCTCGTCTTTTTGGAGGTTGTAAAGGGGAACCAAAAGGAAAGCCGAGGTCATCTTGGGGGGTCCTGTATAAGACGCAACCGCGTGGGCAAGCACAGAGGACCCTAGTCAGAGGTAAGCCCCAAGATAGATCATTTTCCTACAGGGGAAGTGCCCTTAGCAAGTCTTTTGCGGATTAATCCGAGGTTGACATGACGTAGATGTGGGCAAGGGAATCACCAACCAAGCTGCGGGACATGTGCCATCTACCGTTACCCAACTGCGATAGGGGGGGGCCTTCCCCAAAAAGTGCTTGATCCTGAATTCCAATTATGTTCTGCCACTTGTTTCTCCAGTACCCCTTTGCACACTGTGACCTTCCATCAAACCACTACACTCCAAATCAGCTGCACGTGTCCCCAGTTGAAGCTCGTACTTATCCTCGGATTTGAATTGACTCAATGACGATTCCAAATATTAGTAACTTCCACGTACACATGTTCTTTCATGGCATCCTGTTCATATTAATTTAAGGGAAGCCACTAGAAAGAACACTTGCGATCGCCCTTTTTGGACACATAACCATATTGCTTGCAATTGATGTTTGCCCAGCCTTATGAAGCATACCCACATATGGGTCTGTTTTTTGAGGGTGCCCGTTTGGGGGTTGGGAAACCGAAGGCAAACCGAAGCCACGTGGCCCCCGAGTTAGGGCGGGCGAAAGGCTAAGAGGGTTCCTTTTGGGTGCCTTTTTTAGCGGGCCAATTGGGGGGTGTCATTGTGAGGGGCCTTTTGGGCTTCGGTTTTCGTCTTGCCAAAGGCGTAGCAACTCCAAAAAAGACACCCAACCAAGCCAAATGCCATATCTCCCAAATTAAGGAAGCACCTCCCCAAACGACGTGCCACTGAATTCCTCACTCAATTCCTCTCCGGATCCCCTGACATGGACTCGGGCTCAGCTCCGCCGAAAGGTCCGGGCCAAAGCGAGCCCCGCCGATCTAGCCCGGCGGATCTCCGAGGAGCTCCTCGTGGGTTGGTTTTGGCGGGGCGGCCGTTCTTCGGGTGACCTGAAACCCGATAGGAAGCCCAGAAACCTAGACACCCAGTGGGCGCTGGCCGCTTCCTTCTTTCCTTTGGGAATGTTGCTTCCGTGTTGCAACTCTTTTTTTTTTTTGGGGGGGGGGGTTCCCCTTTAGACTCTAAGATCAACCCCAAAGGGGCTTGTTTTTAAAGAGTAATCTAAGCATGCAACGTGGGCTCGGCACAGGTCTGGTCGTGGGGCCCCAAGACCCAAGGAGTCTCAAAAGATGTTTCCTCTTTGTTTTCCGCTGAGTTTCCATGGGTCAGCCAAAAAGTGCCTACAACTATGGAACTGCGGGTCGGAACCTGTTTGACACCTTAAGGTTGACTAAATAAATGGGTTTGCCCAACTTGGGGACCCCACACAATTGTGGATTTCTTTTTGGGTACCGTCAAAAAATCGTAGTTTCAGTTGCAGTTGCGCCGTGCGAAGTGAATAGTCGTTCAGATCATGCTTCATTCTTCAAGAGCCAGGATGCATTCTTCAAGAGGTTGACCCATCCTGGCTGGATGCACCATTGTCTCTCAGTTTCCTTTTTTGAACAAAGCTGCAAAACTCCACAACCCTGGCTGCAATCGGAAGAGGATGCAACAAAAAAAAATGGAAGAATCCTGACAAGACGCTGGGGTTGCTGTTGCGCTGTCCTTGCTACGAATTCCTTGCGCCTCAGGAGCTGGACCTGGACACGCTGAAGCAGCGTGCCCAGGCGCTCCAAGCGCCGGAGCCGGAGCCGGCTGCTCAGGCTGGGATGATGAGTTCGACTGTTTCTGTTGCATGGGTATCAAAGTTGTCACAACTTTCAACTTAGGAGGTGACTTCGAGAATTGTAAAATAGTTGGGGGCAATACTGTAAGTGGACAAAATTTGCTTCGCACCAATTGAAATGGATGACGCCCTATGATCACTGAAAGTGTGCAAAGCGGATTTGGTTCATCCGAAGTAGGTTTATTTTCCGGCTTGAAAACGCATTGGTTCCGTCGGTTTCGGTCTGGTTCCCTTTTCATTTGCTAGTGCCATATATTTTTGTCCAAAGGACACCAAGGAGAGCTGCGACCTTCTCCTTGGAACTCTTGTTTTTCCCTTGGTCACTCAGTAAACAGACGTAGTAAATACTGTCTGCCAGGTTGTGTTTTGCATGGTTGCAGGAAGCTAGTCGCATGTGTGTATGGGTTTTATGTAGTTATTTTGGGGGCAACCCTGATTTTTCCATGTACCCATACAGGAACAACATGGGTTGAACTAGTCAGACCCTTGTCCCCTTCAAACTGGGCTCTTCTCCCAAACTATTGCTTGATGTTTTCCGGGTGACTCAAGCAACTGGAGGTGTTCAAACAAAACACGGTCAGGTTAATTGTGGGGTCGTAGGGTTTTGCGGTGCCAGACGGCGCGAAGTGGCCTCGGCAGGTCAGCGCCGAGAGCTCCCCTACGGCTGTCCTATCCTCAGCGGGGTCGGCTTTGATGCCATCGTGTGGCATCAAATTACGTGATTTGACTTTGGCGTGTTGTGTTTTGTCTTTCTTTGAGAGGAGGGGTGGGGGTGGGGTTTCTTTTTGCTTTTGTGGGGGCCGGAAGGTCGTTTGTTTGTGGCTCCGGGCGAGTAGTTGGAGGTCTACTGGGATTGTGGGTGCTGGCAATGTGCCTGGGTTCCTTTACCCCGTTCAATGTTCCGTCAACTTCCCTTTTCTGTTTTTTTTTTATTCCAAATGCTTTGCACAGTGTTGCAGGGGTCTAAGGGGCGAACGCGTTTGGTTAAGCGTCCAAACTCACTTGCCCACAGCCATAGCCTAAGCCGACCTGAACTGGCCTGTTGGTGTTCATGTTTGGGCCACCAAAATGTCAAGAAAGTTTGCCCTTTCTTTGCTGCTTTCTGTGCAGGGCTCAAGGTAGTTGATTTCAACAAATATGGAACAAGTAGAAAGCAAGCCCAGAGATAGAAGCAGCCGCGCGTGATTCCTTGGTGGCTTGAAGTTTTAGGTTCTTTCTTGGCCCCATTTTCAAGGGCATAGCAACCACAGCTGGACAACGAGCCCTTTTTCTGCCAGTGAAAAGGGAGACCACCAAAGTGAAAGTCAAAGTTGGATTCCATATCGATTTTGGCGCTCCATCACCCGTTTGAGTGGTTCTTGGAAACTTCCGTTTTTGTTGGGGGGCTCCAACCACCCTACCCTTCCCTGTTCTTTTTTTGGGGGGGAGTTCTGGGCACGTAGACTGAACCATGTTACCCTTCCAAAGGAGCCGGCCCGCTCGGGTCCCAGAAAATGGCCCCCAGGCATCCTTACCCTTTGGACCCTTTGGGGTGCAAGATTTGTTCGTGCTTAGACTAAACATGGAGCAACCAATATGACTTTCTGTGCCTGCCGTGGTCTTTGTGGCTGCCAAGTTTGAAGGCTGGTTCCCGTTCTGCCAGGAACATGTCGCTTCCTTCTCGTACAGACTGGCATCGACCAGGTCTTTTTGGGTGTGGCTTTTTGTTAGGAGGACACCCCCAGACGGTGGGTTTTCTTTGGTTTCCCTTTAAGCCAACCCTAAGAAAGGTACCCCCAAAAAAACCAGACCTTTTTCTCGTGGCAAACAAGCTTGGGGCTGCCCGTGAAGCTGAAGGGAACCAGCTGCGTCGCGATGCACCAAACATGGGGGACGATTGGTTGCGTGATCAGCTTTGACCACGTGGGAGTTGTGGTTGGGAATGTGCCCTACCAGGGGCGGGGGGGGGGGGGAGGGGGGGAGCTCAAAACTTTGGCCCACTCGTTGTGACACTCCAGGCGACAAGGCGCAGTCTATGCTAACCCAAAGGCAACAAAAGAAGAAGAAGAAGAAGAAGCAAACATAAGCAAATGTTTCAAACGAGTCACGTTCCAAGGTGCAAACGAGTCACGTGTATCCAGCCCAGTGGCTGCGCTTCAGGACCCGGAGGCCTTGGCGCGGCAGCGTGCGCAGGCGGCCGCCTCGGCGGTGCAGGCGGTGGCCCAGGCGCGAACTGCCAGACATCGACCGCGGGCAACCCGGAGGAGACCCGGAGAAAACGCGGAGAAAACCCGGAGGACCTCATATTTGTTGCATGGAAGTCTCATAAGTGGTTGGACATGAATCCCCGCCCAAATGATGTCGGGCTCCTGATTTAACCCCACACCACGTCCATTTCCCAAGGGGAGACCTGCGTTAATCTAAGCGGCGGGGTTTGGATTGTCTTACAGAAAGGGGGGTTGTAATACAAACTAATCAAAGGGCACTTCCCCTTTTTAAGTTCTTTTGAAGTGCCCTTTGATTCTTTTTGGGGACTACACAAAATCCCAATCCAAATGTGCCCTTCAGCATGATACAGTCGTCATAGTGAATAGCTCATTTTGTATATAACTTTGATGCTTAGAACTTCCTCAAATATTGTTGGTGGCTATACATGCAGCCAAGTCTCTCCGTTGTCCATCAAGCACTCCAAGTCACATTCCGCCACCCTACCAGATTGGCTGCCCAGCCTTTCCTTGCGGTTCCACGGGGCAGGTTTGCGGAGACAGGGTACTCCCAAGCGACCGCGTGAAGATTTTCATGGACCCCTCCGGCGCAAATCACATTATTCCAACCTTCTTGTGGGGGTGGGATCTCCGTTAAAAAAAACAAAAAACATGGGGCTGACTCGAGCAACTCTGGCCCTGCGAGCCTGGCTTCCAGGCCTGCAAAGCATTGGACCCCATCCAGCACACTGATGAGGCAGGTTGGACGGCACACGAAGGCTCCAAAGGTCAACATTTGGCGGGTGTCCTCCAAAGATTCCATCATCCACTGTTTGTGGGTAGTTCTGCTCAGGGGGGTTGTCCAGTCATTGTGGTTGTGTCCATGTTTGGCAAACCAAATCCCACGCCGATCTTTTGGGAAATATCTACCCGGTCCTGCTGAAGGCTTGCCCAAGTGCGTCAAACACATTTCCGGACTTGCGGATTCGGTGGCGCGAAAGACAGCCGCCAAAATTCGGATGCAACCAGGGGGACAGGCCACAAATTGTCCCTTGTAGAACGGTGTTACTCTGCAAGGGCCCCATGTCTCCGTTCGGACCCAAACGCGCACCAATTCCGAGATATGGGGTTGTCTCAAAATGACCCACAAAATGGTTTGTCTCCCTTTTGTGTCCTGTAAAACCAAAAGGGGGTTCCGAAGAAAAAGCACACACCAGGACACAACCATGTAGCTCGGCCACTCACATGAAGAGGTCGGGTATTCTTATGTGTTGTGCGCATGTGTGAACTTGACAAATATTGAGTTTGGAACACACTATTGTTTGCCAAGACAATGCCCAACATTCAATGCGAAATGCACTCGAATTGTCATAGCTACATGCCCCAATCTAGCAAGATGTCTTGCTCCATTCTGTTTTTCCTGTTTTGGGCCTAACTAAGTCTGCCGAACAAAAAGCTGCTTACCGAAGAAAGCGAACTCTTTCTTCTGCCAAGGAAGCGATGCCCTATGGAAGACCCCAAGCCATGGCAAAAGCCTGGCGTGGGACCATGTGGGGGGTGTCTTAAATAGGGGACCCCCAAAATGGTAAAAACCACTCCAAAACGGGGGTACCACGAGTGCACGGAGATGTGTCCGGGAGCCATTCCAAGAGATGTTCGAAGGTTTGGCTCGACCCCTCCCAAGTCGGGGTGTGTCTTGGAGCCCGGGTTCCTTGAGCCCGAGAACCTTACGCGTCCTTTTTTCCCCGTCTTCTCGAAATGGATTTCGGACCCCCTTTGAGCTGGCATTCAAACGGAACCAACATGAAACAAAGCACTTTAGGGGGCCCTAGTCTGCGAAATATCCAGAAAAAGCCAGTGGCCCTCCCCTTTTCTCCAGGTTCCGCTCGGCACAAGGCGCGGCCCAGGTGCAAAATTGTGTCCGCAGTATCATTGCCAGACTTCACTTATCTTTTGCCCTTTTTGCGAGGCAAGATGGAACCCGCAACAAGGCAAGCTCTTATCATCCAACCACCCCTACCTGAAAAATCAGGGTTCAAGGGTCCCCCCCCTACCACCCACGGTTTGTTTGATGTGTTTTTGTTGTGCTTGCATCGTGCTAACTTACGCCTTGACAGTATCTTAGTGCATCCCTTGCTACCGGGCGGCCGACGGTCTCGGCACCTGTTCTCGGCAAGAAAATCAAGAAACATCACTGGGTGCTAGATAGCATGTCGCATTCCCACGTGTGGAAATAATTCTCACCTTGAAGGCGTGCGCACGAGAGGATGCGGCGCCCAAAGGAAAAAAACAAGTGGACGGATCATTTGTTTGTTTGTCTCCAGACCCCCTGCTAAGCAGATAAAAGCCAAGGGACCCAAAACGGGTTCCAGTACACAAGGTTCCAGTTTGCGCTAAAGGACAATCATTTGTTTAGCATCCTAGAACCCATTGGAGCCCATTTCAGGTCACTCAAAAAGGAGATCTCTCATTTCCAGAGGCTATGTTTTCGGAGTGAGCGCTTTGTAGATTTGCGGCCGTTTTGGGGAGAGCGGCCAACGGAACTCCCGCGCTGTTTCCCTATAAGTTCAGTATTCGATCAATTTTAAGACCAGCTGTTTCATCGGTGTGCGATGGTCTGCTGGAGAGGTGACGAAACATCACCTTTTGGAACATCACCTCTTCAGCCGTTCTTCTTTTCAATCTGTTTATCGCAAGAAGGATCTCGGTTGAAAGTTATACCCCATCCTTCTCAACCATGGTTCTTGTACACAAAAACGGCCGGTTTCCGAGCGGTCTTGATGGTTGTCAAGCCAGAACGGAGGAGTTGCCGCTTTGGCCGTGTGGGTCGCCGTTTTTTGTTCTTCCTTCGGAGTTCGGCATTCGGCGCCTTCGATTCCAGCTGCGAGCCGGAGCTCGAGCGTCGCGGTGAGCCGAAGCCGAAGGAAGAGGCGGGAAGTCGTGGGCTCCTGATGTCAGGGTCTAAACAATTGGAACGAGGTTGGGGTACTTTTGAACCAAATTCCGTCAGGATAGCACAAAAATCGAGACCTCGAGACCACCTAGTTGTGGGTCTAAGGCCTTCAGCATAGCCAAAAGGCTAGGAAGATGTAGCCTTTCTAGGCCACCTTTGGCCTCTCGCAAATGGCTGTGAAGAGTTGCGGATCGATTTTTGGCCACTTTCTCTACCAAACATCGCACCTTCAGACAACCTTTGGCGAAATACAAACCATATTCCTTTCTAAGAAGGTGCCTGGCAAATTTGGGATGTAAGAAAACGAGTTTGAAGTTTCCCACGTCTCCAACAGGGGATTCCAATGAAAGCTGAACATGTTCAGACCAAAGGACCCACGATGACCCACCTAAACACCAAAGGGCCCCCGAAGAGGTACGGTGCAATACGGTGCACATAAACCTTATGAAGGCAAAATATCAGCTCTTGACTACCGGCTCTTGACTACCAGCTCTTGACTAAGGCTTCTTTGTGGGGGGTTGTGGAGTTCTTGAAGGAAACCGACAGGCTTTGGGATCCTCGTTCGGAAACATATTGAGAAAACTCTCAAACCTTCTTCTCACAGTTAAAATTACTTGCAGCCAGATCCGGAGAATCGATCCGGAACTTGGATGCTGTTCGTCCGAGTACAGGAGAAACCTGTGAAAAGCCTAACTTCCTACAGATTCTGCCGACCAGGCAACTGCTCGGCATTTTTGTTGCTGCAGTGTGCTTTTCAGGTATGCTGTACCCCTTCAGGTGGAGAATTCATTGGGGATGTCGAGAGGCTTCACAGATATATGATTCCCACCTCGCAACAGCGCAGCCTGAGCTTTGGTTTGCGACTGATGTTTCCCTGCGTTGGAGGGTCCTTAGAGGTGTCAACCCTCCCCACCCCCGGTGACATCTCAAGGAGAACCTCCGTTGCTCGTTCGGCTAGTGGTTTTTGGCAGACGCAGTGTTCAGTGAGTGACACTTCGGGTCAAACAAAATGCCCCGAGGGGCTCGAGGAAACCAGCAGCTTCCAGATCCGAGTTAGCCCTATACAATTGACCCCGAATTGTCGAGCCCTCAATCGGGGGAGTGTTCCCCTCCAATAGTCTAAAGTGATGAAACCCCACTAAACAAGCGGTACCCCCTATCTGGAAGTGAGTAGTGGATAATCAGCAATTTTCCCATTTTCCCATTGGGGTCGCCTGACGTGCGCTATTTGAATTTGGCAGTTCAAGCCACTTCAGCCACTTCAAGTGGATCCAAGTGGCTCCAAGTGGCGCGTGCCGCTTCAAGTGGCTCTAAGTGGCTCCAAGTGGCACGCGCCGCTTCAAGTGGCTCCAAGTGGCTCCATGTGGCTCCAAGTGGTGCATGCCGCTTCAAGTGGCTCTAAGTGGCTCCAAGTGGCATGTGCCGCTTCAAGTGGCTCCAAGTGGCTCCAAGTGGCACGTTCTGTTTCAAGTGGCTCCAAGTGGCTCCAAATGGCTCCAAGTGGCTCTTGTCCAAGCGGCACGCGCCTTTCAATTTGCTCCAAGTATCCTACGGCTCTTCAAGTGGATCCAAGTAGACATGACGTAAAGGGCCCCCTTCCTAACAGGGTCCTCCCCCAAAGGCCCCAGCTGCAGAGTCGTTTCGGAAGACGTCCAAAAGTGTCCGATTCTGTTTTTTTGAGAGTTGGCGTGCCCACTTTCACTGGTCATTCACGCTCAAATGGAACTGTGTCGCGTGGAAATGGGGTCGCTTCACGCTTTGTCACGCTCCAATTTTTGAACGGACGGTGTTGCACTTCAGGCCTTGTCATGATAACACAGCCTTATCAAACACCCACAAACACTCTTCATGAACAGCAAGTACAGTTATAGGGACGAGCCGGCTCAAGGAGACTTTCCATACAGCCCCAAGCTTATGCAACCGTTGAGGGTCTCTGATGGACAACCCTACTTCTTTCGACAGACCCCGCTAGGAAGGGTCGTTCGAGGTTTCGAGATATGAATAGAGGGATATACATCCAACTGCATGTGCTGGGCACAACAGTCGCCCACTCAGCCCATGGCGTCCGCGCCCTCCGGCCGTGGCTGGCCGTGTCGGGGCGAATGCGGCGGGAAGCTCTCAGGCCGAGGCGGGGTCGCGAAGTGGATACTCATACCTAGTAAATGGGGAGCACTCACGGCTATACCCGCCTAGCGGGGCTGCAAGTAGCTCCTGTCATTTGGGCTGCCTGAGGTTAGCAAGTCGGCTCACTTACCAAGTAGCCTGCTTCTTCAAGAAGGGGTCAAGTCTGTGGCAAAGAGCAAGCTGTCTCCAACTTCCTGCAAAATGCCACTAAACGAACCTGCTTGTTGTTTGGGCGCTGCCTGTGATAGCTGCAGGGTAGGCTGTTGAGATTGCAGATAGTGTCGTCACTGGAGACAATGAGCCGTATCAAAAAGGAATATCTCCTGGTCGCTCTGCCATGACTGTTTGGTCCTTTCTGTGAGCGCTTGGCTGTTTTCCTGCTGTGTTCATGCGAGCCGTTTGACCTGACAGCAGCCCTCGAGCACTCAAGTGATTCCAAGTCTCTGCAGACCACTGACCCAGAGAAGAAAGTGGCTAACTGCAGCACGTTGGCCATTACAACAAGCTGGCACCGGAGACTACCGACGGGTGCCTCCTGAATCCACTACCTCATGAAATACCTAGGCGACCTCATGCTGTACGACCTCATGAAGTACCTGCGCAACCTCATGAAGTACCTGTGCGACCTCATGAAGCACCTGTACGACCTTATGCTGTCACCTCGTGGTCTACCTCATGGACTACCACCACAACATCACCTTCTACATCCTCCACCTCATGAAGTACCTGTACGACCTCATGATGTATGACCTCATGAAGTACCTGTACGACCTTATGCTATTCCACTATACCACCTCATGAAGTACCTCTACGACCTCATGCTGCACGACCTCATGAAGCACCTGTACGACCTCATGCTGTACCACCTCATGGTCTGCCTCATGGACTACCACCACAACATCACCTTCTACATCCCCACATCCACTTCCTCATGAAGTACCTGTACGACCTCATGATGTATGACCTCATGAAGTACCTGTACGACCTTATGCTATACCATTTCATGAAGTACCTGTACGACCGACCTCATGAAGTACCTGTACGACCTCATGCATCTGCTGCTGCATTCCCTCGGGGCGCAAATGGGCGCAAACAAAAAAGCCGAGTTTTTGGAGTTCGTCGTAAAACTCGGTTTTTTTATTTGCTGCTTCGGCAGCAGCCTTGACGCCTAGTTTCCCCGTCCCCGCGAAACCTAACTACGAGCCCAGGACCTATCCACGCTTGTACTTTCCACTCATTTTCGCAGACTTCGAGCCGCACGGGGAGGTCAAACATCGCTGAGCAATTTCCCGGACCTATCCACGCTTGTGCTTTCCACTCAGTTTCACAGATTTCGAGCCGCACGGGGAGGTCGATGTCGTTGTCGTTGTCGTTCTTGTTGTTGCTGCTGCTGCTGCTGAGCCAGCAACTGCCTGTCGAAAAGGGGATACGTGATGCGGCTCCCACAGGCTCACCGCCTGTGCAACCGGACGGGCAGGCTGGCTGTTGTTGCTGTTGTTGTTTTGTCTGGCCGGCAGCTGCCTGTCGAAAAGGGGATACGTGATGCAGTTCCCACAGGCTCACCGCCTGTGCAACCGGACGGGCAGGCTGGCTTCGTCCGTCTGGTGATTCTTGTCGATGTTGTTGCTGTTGTTGTTGCTGTTGCTGTGTCCCATTGGGCGCAAAATGGCGCAAAATGGCGGGCTGCCAGTAGCCGCCTTTCTGGCTGTATCGCACGCGCCTGCCTCTTCCCAAGGCTTGTGCTCACCCCATACCTGGCCGCGCCTAAAAACAAATTGTTTCGGCCCGAAAATCGTTTTTGCGTCGTCTCTGGCTGCCTCGCTCGCGCCCGCCTCTTCACCCCAAGCCTGGCGGTGTCAAAAAAGAATTCGTTTTGCGCGACAGGTCCGAGATTCGAGCCTCCAAATTTTCCCGCGGGACAAAGCTGAGTCCGACGCATTCGCCGCTGAACCAAGGCCGGCTTGCTCACAAGCGGGGCTGAAAGCCGCCTTTTCCCGTCTGGCCGCTCGGTCTTCAAAATCCGGCTGGGCCAAAAACAATTTATTTCGCCCCGAAAAAATGTTTTTCCGGGGGGTCAGCTCCAGGTTGCCCTGGCAGCCCGCCTAGGCTGCCCAAGCCCGAGGGTGTGGTCTATCCACGACTGCCTTTCCAAGTTCAATGTGTGTCTTGTCACCCATTACCGTTTCAAACCTATCCATGCACGGCTTCGTCTTGCTGTCCACCCACGACGTTCTATTTGCACTTTCCCGTCCTCACATGGAAGTGCGAATCCAGGTGCAAATCTCATCAGTTTAGGTGCAAATCTCATCAGTTTAGGTGCAAATCTCATCAGTTTAGGTGCAAAAAACAAGAGATGCAATCTCATTAGTTTAGGTGCAAATCCCATCAGTTTAGGTGCAGGGGCTCTCAGACCAAATCTCAAAGATGTCCAGAATCCCTTTTTTCAAAGCCCTGCAAGACCTTTGGGCAAAGACGTCCAGAAAAGGGCAAATCCCATCACCTTTGGGCAAAGACGTCCAGAATCCCTTGTTTCAAAGCCCTGGAAGGGCAAATCCCATCACCTTTGGGCAAGGACTAGACGTCTCCTTTTCAGAGCCCCTTGAGGGGGCAAATCCAGGTCTGGGCCATTTCTGTCTCGAATTGAAGCTCAGAAGCTCTAGAAGCGATGGCGTCTTCTCCGGACCATTACCGTTTCAAACCTATCCATGCACGGCTTCGTCTTGCTGTCCACCCACGACGTTCTATTTGCACTTTCCCGTCCTCACGTGGAAGTGCGAATCCAGGTGCAAATCTCATCAGTTTAGGTGCAAATCTCATCAGTTTAGGTGCAAATCTCATCAGTTTAGGTGCAAATCCCATCAGTTTAGGTGCAGGGGCCCTCAGACCAAATCCCAAAGATGTCCAGAATCCCTTTTTTCAAAGCCCTGCAAGACCTTTGGGCAAAGACGTCCAGAATCCCTTGTTTCAAAGGCCTGGAATGGCAAATCCCATCACCTTTGGGCAAAGACGTCCAGAATCCCTTGTTTCAAAGCCCTGGAAGGGCAAATCCCATCACCTTTGGGCAAGGACTAGACGTCTCCTTTTCAGAGCCCCTTGAGGGGGCAAATCCAGGTCTGGGCCATTTCTGTCTCGAATTGAAGTTCAGAAGCTCTAGAAGCGATGGCGTCTTCTCCGGAGACCTCTCTACGCAAGCGAGCGGCAGCAGCAACGCTCGAAGAGCTGGAGTTGCAGGCCAGCTTCTGGAATAGCTGACAATAGAACCCGGTTGCTGTAGGGTGCCCTAGATTCCAAATGCATTTTTGCGTTGCGGGGGGGTTTTGTTCGCCGGGACAGTAGAGTTGCCTCGGTGATAGATCTTGATCTGCTCGGGCAGATTCTTCCTTATGAGGCGCGCAGTTGAACTTATTTGGTTGGCTGCGGTGAGACGGCAGGTCATCCGCAATGCAGAGGGTGTTTAGGGTTTTTGCGGGGCTGAAAGACAAAGCCCCAGAAGCGGCAGCCACTGCAGAGGCGCGCAGTTGAACTTGTTTGGTTTTGCGGAGCTGAAGGACAAAGCCCCAGAAGTGGCAGCCGCAGCAGAGGCGCGCAGTTCAACTTGTTTGGTTGGCTGCGGTGAGACGGCAGGTCATCCGCAATGCAGAGGGTGTTTAGGGTTTTTGCGGGGCTGAAGGACAAAGCCCCAGAAGCGGCAGCCACCGCAGAGGCGCGCAGTTGAACTTGTTTTGTTGGCTGCGGTGAGATGGCAGGTCATCCGCAGTTGCAGCATGTTGCAGAGGGTTTTAGGGCTTTGCGGAGCTGAAGGACAAAGCCCCAGAAGTGCATGCCCCCGCAGAGGCGCGCTGGTGACCCCTTTGCCTACCCAATCGTTTTGTTACCTGCTGAGCAAGATTTCATTCAGGAGAGGTTTTCTTGCGAGAGGGTGTGCGGGCCTCCCGGCGTACACCCGTTCGCGGACTACCGGGAGGGGTTTTCTTGCGAGAGGGTGTGCGGGCCTCCCAGCGTACACCCGTTCGCGGACTACCGGGAAGGGTTTTCTTGCGAGAGGGTGTGCGGGCCTCCCGGCGTGCACCCGTTCGCGGGTTACCGGGATGGACTTGGCACTGCACCACCTTGTTGTAACAAACCGTCCGTTGCATCTGCACCTAACAACACACTGGGAACTATGAGCGTACATTGGAATTTGGGGGAGAATGGCGCTCCCCCTGGTGAATTTGATGACTTCGAAGATCCTGGTGTTGGCAGTGTCAAACAGAGTTGCGGTCCGAGTGAAGTCACATGTGAGGGTGTTTGTGCCTGCGTGAGCGTTTTTCACATGTCATGTTGCGGCATGCACACATGTTTGCCAGTGTCTGCAGTTTTTTTAATACTCGTGTACATGGCGTGCTCGAGCGGAAGGGGCAGTGCTGTGCACATTTTTTGATGGAAGAAGTATCAGTGCTCTGTCCGCGAGGCTTTCCCTGTACGCTGCCTGGTGCGGCAGCGGTGGGTTAGCTGCTGGCGCTGTTTGCGCCGGTGCGTGACGGGATGCTATTGCCACCGCGATGTGAGACGGCAAGGTAAAACGTCAGCTGGAGTGCCTGATGGGAGATGTATATATATATATTGTATCGGCGTCTGCAAATACAATTCAACTTTTCCAGCCTGTTTCTCTGTTCGACTGTTTGCTCATTACCTACTGCGCGTGCACGCCGCGAATAAAACAAAAAAAACCGAGTTTTTTGACATTCAGCAAAGACTCGGTTTTTTTCGGTTTTCCCATTTCCATGGTAGACTAAGCTGTAGGTCTGTATCTAGCAGCGCAAAACATCTCGGATTTCGGCTAACTCTGCGTCACCGAAAACAATTGGGCCAGACGGAGGCTCAATGAAGAAGGCTTGCGCTGCAGGACACGTAAGACATCCACTTGTGTGCGTGATAAAGTACACATTGTGTCGGAGTCTGCAAGTAGAATTCAACTTTTCCTGCCCGTTTGTCTGTTCGACTGTTTGCTCATGACCTACTGTGCGTGCACGCCGCGAATAAACAAAAAAAACGAGTTTTTGGACATTCCGCAAAAACTCAGTTTTTTCAGGTTTCCCATTTCCAAGGTAGACTGAGCCGTAGGTTTGTGTCTTGCGGTGCGAAACATCTCGGATTTCGGTAAACTTTGCGTCACCCAAAACAATTGGGCCAGCTGGAGGCAGAATGAAGAAAGCTAGCGCTGCAGGAGAGGTAAGACATCCGCTTGTGTACGTGATAGCGTATATATTGTATCGGAGTCTGCAAAATAGAATTCAACTTTTCCTGTCTATTTCTCTGTTTAACCATTTTTCCTCCTTATCTACTGCGCGTGCACTCCACGCATCAGCCAAAACAAAAACGGTTTATGAAATTCAGTAGGAGAGAGACGCAGAGCCTTCCACCTAGTGGTTGCATGTTGCTCCATGCCGTGACTACCCCGTGGTGTGTTTGTTGCAACAAGCAGATGCCATGAAGCAATGAATGCCTGGCTGCCCGCTGCTACAGCCTTGCCGTGGGCAGGGCTGCCCAACATGCACATGCTGCAGATAAGCCACATCGATTAAGCCATTTTGTGATGCCACATAGCCAGTCTCAGACATAGTGAGAACCCAGCCAGATCTCCAGACACTTTAAGTGGGACTGCCACTTGGAGCCACTTGGAGCCACTTGGAGCCACTTGGCGCCACTTGGAGCCACTCCAAGTGGCACGGCCACTTCAAGTGGCACTGCCACTTGGAGTGGCTCCAAGTGGCCCCAAGTGGCAGATTCAGAATCCTCCCGGATTGCACGTCCTCTCTTCCTAGCCATTTGTAGGTGCTTCTACTATCCGGTTTGAAGCGTGTTATACAAGCTTTACATGCATGTTGGGAGAACGGGTCAATGTGTTTTGGACACTGCCTATCTAGTTCAACTCTACCAATAGACTACAACTTAAACTACCATTTAGTAGTGCCATACAGATATGTACCAATTAGCTACTAGCAATGTAGCAATGCAGCATACTCATAGCTACCCTCCCACCAATTAGCATGGAACGTGACAGGGGGGTCCTGGTTTGGACCGTGTTCCTTTTAAAGGGACTGTCAGGTTCCATGTGAAAAGGGTGGGAGGGCGCTCCAGGTATCTACTAATTTCACTTCCTGAGTTCTGACTTCATACTGTGTTTGGGACCATTTTCGTGGGAATCTCAAAGTTCGTTGTTTTTGTTGGGCCATCCACTCAGAGAATGAGCGCATGCCCCTTAACCATCCAACTGCTGGTTTCCTAGGGGCTTGAAGCCTGGGTTCATCGCCACCTTCCCTACTTCTCGCGCCAAATGAGCCACAATCAAAACCGGGTAGATGAAGATTAGTAAGGGGCAGTCCCAGCCGGAATAGTTGCGGCCGCCTTCCTAATTCTTGAAGCATGGTTCTGGGTCGACCATGGAAAAAGACCGAGTGTTGCTTATGACGCAACTCGCTTTCCCATCGGAGCCCCGTGGCCCGCGCCCTCCGCGGGCCATCCCCGCGGGCCCGCTCCGCTTGCGCGCTCCGAGGAGATGTTTGGGCCCTTCGTGCAGGCGGCGGTGGACTCCCTGCGGCGCTTCGTCTCCGACGAGCTGGGCCTCGAGGCCTTCTCCTGGTCCTTGGGCATCATCGCCCAGATGCGCCGCGCCCGGAGAACAATGAAGAAAACAACACGGAGCAAAAACGGGGAGAAGACGTGAGAAAACGCTTACCCGGCTTGGGGCGTTTTGCGTGAAAGCGAGGTTTGGCCGATTTCAAAAGGTGGTCTGCAACCCTGGTTTCCTGGAAGAAAACCTGAAATGCCATGCCTTGAAGGTGTGTGTTTTTCCCAAACCCGGGACTTGAGTAAAACCTCCTGGATCTTGCAAAACATGAACATTTAACGTAAGATCCGGGACTACCTGTGTTTTGAGGATCTCAGTGAAAAAACGCGGAGTTTTCCAACTCCTGGTTGTAAAACTCCTAGAAATTGATTGTCACTTCTGGAAATGGTTTGCACACCTGAAACCCCTAGAAATCGCAATTCGGTACTTGACGGAAGGAACCCTCCCATTCAGAAATAGTCTAAATCGGAATCGTTCACCTGAATCATAATCACTAATTCAGATTTCAGAATTATTCTGAACTCGGATTTATTGCCTTTGGGCGACAAAGTTGGTCAAACCGGAAAGTACCACACCTGAAACTTAGCGCAAAACACCCGCAAAAACCCCGCAAACTCCCGCGAAAACCCGCAAAGTCGCGAAAATCAAAAAAGACGGAGTTTCCGGAGAGTGCAGCATAAAAAAGAGGAATCCCCACTCGAGTACGCAGAGTTGCATAATTGCTGGGATAGTGTACAGAGTTGTACATTTGCGGGCCCAAACAACGAAAAAAGACAAGAAGACTGTTTCAAAATTGCCTCCCGTCAGAACCACTCCTCGTTTTTGATGTTCACTCGTGCATTGCAAGCCTCTCCTCCTTTTTTTTGATTATTGCATTTGAAACACCTGAAACTCCTAGATTTCAGAGAGTCTCCTGGAAATATCCCGGAGAACGGAAAAACAGAGAAATTACCCGGAGACGGAGGACCCAGGCTGGTGAATTTTAGGGGGTGTAGCTTGTCAAGTGAGGAATCCTTAAAGTTTCCCCAACGGATTGGCTGTTGCTTCCCAAAAAGTTGGATTTTTTCCGCTGGGTGTTTGTTTTTTGTGGATCCCAAGGCTGGTGCACACGGTGACAGAGGGCTCTACGATTGCCACCTGGGCCGAACTGCACGTAAGGCCCAAGGGTTTTGCCGAGAGGTGCTTGGATTCGGGATGCATGCGTGGCTGTATGGTTTTTAAAGACCCTATGGTGACACAGCATCCTATTTGCTCTACTACCCTCCAAATGGTTTTGACATCAGTCATGAGTGCCCCTATACTGAAGCGTTTGTTCAGAAGCGGCCTTGCTGTGGCTTGAATGTGCTGCTGTAGTTGAGTTGCGTATGTCTTGCTTTTATGCGTTTATGTGCTCCAGGGCTTTCACATCTAGTTTGACGCCTTTTATTGACTCTCCTTGACTTGTGTCCGTGAAGGGGTGCAATGGAGGTTTCGATTGATCATGGACTTGCCGATGAAACATGGAGTCCAGGAAAGAGCGTCGATACTCGCAGCCGTCGATCCGAGAACAGTGACAGCCAAGGTCATGAAGGCCATCAACAACAACTCGACTTTGCAACTGGCCAGCGCAGTGAATTCTGCCCCGCGCGGCTCGGTGCCAAAGAAGCCCATATTTGTGTTGAACTGCGAAATGGACGGAAACCACCATGTTGTTGCACTTGTCCCAGACTTCTTGCATGGCCATTCACTACCAGGTACCCATCCAAGTGGTTGGTTTCATGGTGCCCTTTCAAGCCGTCCCAAGATGCCTAGTTTGCAACACATCGACCTAGGTGGGAAGCGTGCAAGCTGGGTGCTGATTGTGAAGGTGGGCACACAGGACATTTCACCTCTCCGCTGGGCGATCGAAAGCGGGTCCTTGAGTGCTGCAAAGGCTATCATCGAAGATCTTCTGACCATCAGGCTGAGAGGGTCGAAAGCAGTGTTCACACGCACGAAGTTTTTTTTGTGGTATGATGCGATGCCATGCAATGCGGTGTAATGAATCGAAATGTCATGTAATGTCGGGGATGCTTTAATAGTCCCCCCAAACAGTGCCACCAGTGACTTGGGGCCTCTTGAGTGGAAGAGCGGGGCCGTGTTGGGTCAGCGTTGCCAATTCTAATGTAGGATTGCTTGCGCATATGTGTGTTTCTTGTTTCTTTCTTTTTTGTTTGAGGAGGTGGGATGGGAATGTGTTGTTAAAGCGACTCCCGAAACAGTCACAGGATTCTGCATTAGGAAACACATTTGTTATAATAGCGATCTCGGGATTTGTATGCACTTGCATATGTTTCATGTTTCCAACATACATATATGTATGTAGTCCATCCCGCAGTTCCAATATTTTAGTGTGCTGACACACTCGCCGCGGTTGACCACATACTTGTGTCGCGCACGCACCTTTCACAATCACCGTTTTTATTGAGCCTTGTGGGTGACTCTTCTGTGATGAGCAATCTCAGTCTCAACGTGAAGATATCTACAACGTGATCAAGACACTGAACCGTTGTTGAGTGTAAGAGGTCGTGCCGTCTTTAAAGGTGCCAGCAAATGTTGTTTTTGAGCAAACAACGCTAAGAACATACTTAGTTTGTGTGGCAAACTGTATTGAGTTATACACGTATACAAGTTGGCATTTAAGCCAAGCCCATGAACCGCACAGTTCGACTTTGGAGGTTTCAACTGACCAGCAAAATGCGGATTCGGACCAAACACTCCATAAGGAGAAAGCAAGATAAATGCATGGTTGAAGCGACAAAACGAAAGTCCGGATGAGTCAGAAGGTCCTGGTCCAGAGTCTCCTTGGTTTATTTTGTTTTTATGGGTCCCTGTGCAGGTCTTGGAGCGGGCATGAAGAACACGCCTTGCTTGTTTGCTGTGTTTGTTTCTTTGCATTTTGTGGACCTCCGTGTATGCGTGGGAGCTTTACACCTCCAAACCTGCGTATGTGCTTGTCTGTGCAGCTTTTGGAGTGTTGTGCTTTCAAGGTGGAAACTGCCAACGTGGCGTGCCTGATACAAAGTGTTTGCCATCTGCGAAAGATACCTGCACGTTGTCGATTCGCACCTCACCACTCCATCAAACACACTATATGTTCTGATATGATTACTAAATGGTGGGCGAGGATATATAGATAAATATGTATATGTATATATTACATATATGTGCCTACTACGTGCATGCATGCATGCACACCCATAGGTGAATCGAAGCTAACATGTGCTGTAGCCGATCCCTGGAATTCCCTCGTGCTGGTTTTCTTTGCGTCCTGTGTTCTGGCTTGCACTGATTGCCCTGCTTTTGGAGCACAATTCCTTGTGTTTGTTCTGAAACAAACCCATGAACCACGCCTTCCTGCTAATCTGCAACCAACACGTCATGGACAGTCTGAAGATTATTAACGGCAGCACAACCACCGATTCGACTTGTGTTTACTCTGAAAAGCAAACAGAGAACGCACACTTTGAGGGCGGACCGTGAGCGGTACTACTACGGTGTGGACGACCTCTTCGCGCGGCATAGGGACATTGTACAGATCATTTGCTCAGAGGCGCCGACGCTGCTCACGACCTTTCTAGAGGGTCTGGCTTGGCGGTCCCGGACCACTGATCAAGGCATGAGGCGCCATGGCCACAGTTTTGGGTGAGTGGGTCCCCATTAGCCCAAAGCGAAGTGTGTTAACCTTAGTGTTTTCGGCGTGTTAGCAAGTTGCAAGTATGTTGGACGTCCGCTCTTTGTTTGGTTGTTTGTTTTGCTTTGTATCGCTCTATGTTGGTTTGCAGTGTTGCTTTTTTTTTCTGGGAGGAAAGGGGCGGAGCCATGCTTTTCTTGTTTGTGGCTTCTTCTTGGCGTTTTTGTTTTGTGACGGGTTGTTCTGTACTGTTCGGTTCTGCAAAGTTTGTTTGCTTGCTTGATTGCTTGATTGCTTGTGTTTGTGTATTTGTTGCTTGTATCTCGTTTGTGCGTTGTTTTGTTTTGGTTTGGTTGTTTGTTTGTTTGTTTGTTTGTTTGGCTGGTGTTTATTTGCTTGTTTGATTGTTTGGTTGGTATTGTTGGCTGGTTAGATTGGTTGGTCGGTCGGTTGGTTGGTTGCTTTTTGTTTCCTCGCTTGCCTTGCCTAGCCTAGCCTAGCCTAGCCTAGCCTTGCCTGCGTGCTTGCTTGCCTGCTTGCTCTCTTGCTGCTTCATGGCCTGCTGGCTAGTTTGCTTGCTTGTTGGATGTAATTGTTTTTCGGGCTGGTTTGCTAGTTTGCTGGTATGCCGGTTGGCTAGCTAGTTGTGTGGTCCGTTGGTTGGCTGATTGGCGGTTTTCAGGCCAGGTGACTGACTGCTATTGGCTGGCTGGTTTGTAGTTTGTCGTCGTTTTCCCTTTGCTACGTTGGTTTCACCAAACCCTAACTATGACCGTGCTGGCCAGAGGAGGAGGGGAACCGCGCTAGGGGAGATGGGACAGATGTGGCATGTGGGTTGGCTAGATGGGCCACGGGCTCCCAGAAAGAAAGACATCAGGAGTAACAATTTCTGAGCTCATTTCATTAACCATTCTGGATATAGTGTTTGTTGGTCAATACATCAATCTCCTCTCTTTGGTATCCCGCATGGGATACTTGGAATGCTCAGGCACTTCTGCAGAAGTCGGTTGAATGCCTGTAAGCGTTTCATCAATTGGGAGCATTTATGTATTGCATATTAGTATGTATATATATATATACATATGCTACCCCCGCCCCTCCCACAATTATGTATATATATATATAGCATGTGCGTGAACTGGCGGGTGGCACGTGGATGATTTTGGTGTTGAAGGCACAGTCGTTCGTTTGGACCGTCCAAGGCGGGTGAATTACTACGTTAAGAACTTGTTCGTGGACGGCAACGGGAACTTCGCGGGAGCCCTGCAAGCCCTTGTCGGCCTGGGTGATCCACAGATCGTCTCCCATTCTGTGGTGAACGTGGTGTCCAACCACCTTTGGACAGGGCTGGTGATCCAGGAGTTCATCGTGTCCAAGATTTGGTTCATTTTCAGCCTGGTGGTGCTTATGGTGAGTCAGACCTTGCTGCCGGAGTACAGGGAGTCCAAAGAAGCGCGAATCGGCACGCTGTTCTGCAGAGCTATAACCTACATGCTCACTTTGCTGGTCCTTTTGATCCAGCACGCACGGGACACCTTCAAGGCCTACTACGGCCGGGACACGGTCCGCGTATTGAGACTCCCAGTGCCCAGATATCTGACCCAGTTTTATCATATCGTGCCTCAGCTGCAGGTGCATGACCTTACAGCTGTGACTCATGGCAAGTCCGCTGCAGGAACGAGTAGCAATCTGTCGAGTTTGGCACTTGGAGTTGGGCACATTTTGTTTATAGAACCAAAGAAACCCTAGGTCCTTCCAGATGAGTTTTCGACAGTAGCTTGTTGAACCGACTGTGTTTTTTTCTATATGCGTTTAAACCTTGGAGGTTGCGGCGTGAAAGTGTGGAAGTCGACGGGAGGTTTCCCTCGTTGTGCACGCTGACCCTGTGTAGGGCGATATACCAACCATGTAGATGTTGACGTTGCCCCCTCCTATGATCAGCCTGGGATAAAATTGAAGCAGGGCGGTGGCCATTGCAGAGTGTGATGCTGGCACTCACAGAAGCGCAGCAATGATAGAGGTTACTCCCACCGCTCGTGTTTTTTTTCTTCCTGCATCACACATAACTTGTAGCTGATTGACGATGCTTTGCGACTAGCTTTTTTTTTACCGCTTTGCCTATCAGGTGATTCGAGAGGTTCCAATGTTTGGTTTAGGCGCGGCATTCTCTGGTGTAATTGTGCCAGACATATTTTTTCATGGTTCAAGCAATTTCCGTCACTTCTCGAGGCTCCCCAGGTCTTCAACACAGCTTCTGTTGCAGCAAAGAACTAGGGGTCTGGGCTGAAGTGCTGTTTTACCACTGAGTCTCACCATGGGACTCCGTGAATTGGCATCTTTGTTGATTCGCTCCTATCCTGAGCCATTCTGTCAACTCGGACCACCCACTGAAATAACTACCCTACTAACATGCAAGTGCACTGAACTTCCTTGCAAAAGGAAAGCTCTGTTTTGTTCCAAGATGCACTTCCATGCTTGTTGATTGGAGCGTAGACGTTTTTTTCATTCTTTGTCGATTAAGGCCAGCCTCATGCTGATGATTTGCCTGGTTTGTATGTGGATCTACGAGCCCTACATTCACTGCGTCGAAGACCCAGAGCTTTCGGCCGCACTGTAGCGGAAGTCGGTGCCTCGCGCGCTTGCGCGCATACCTTTCCGCTCACGTCTCAAGATAATTGCTGTTGATAAGTTGATAAGGCTTCTTGAGTGTGAATCAGTTGGGGTCCAAAATGATCATTTTGGCAAGCTATCCGCAAGAAAGGAGTGGGGAAATTCATGGAGCGTCTTTGCATAACTCCCACCTTGTGTGTTGCCATTCAGTTTTGGTGCAATCTACCCCAACATGGACCTCCAGAAATCCTCCGAAAGGAGGTCTGATATGCTCCATACATGTACGATGTGATGAAACGCTTGGCACACTGTTGCCCAGCTCAATTGGTGAGAGGCAACCAACGATCTTACGTACGTGTGCGTGGGCTTGTGTATGTGCGCGTGCGTGCGTGCGAGTACGTGTACGAGTTTGTGTGTGTGTGTGAGAATGTCAGACGAGGTTTCCTGCCCCACTCGCAGAAAGCATCATGTGTTTGTGCTTACTGCTCATTGAATTGTATGATGAAACCAATGTGCGTGCGTGCGTGCCTGCGTGCCTGTGTGCCTGCGTGCCTGCGTGCCTGCGTGCCTGCGTGCCTGCATGCCTGCGTGCCTGCGTGCCTGCGTGCCTGCGTGCCTGCGTGCCTGCGCGCGCGCGTGCGTGCGTGCGTGCGTGCGTGCGTGGGTGTGTGTGTGTGGTTGTGTGTGTGAGTGTCAGTGAGGAAGCTTCAAGCAACAGACAACGGTTGCTGCCCAACTCGCGGTAAGCATTGTGCGTTTATGGTGACTGCTGAGCGCATTGAATAGTGTGTGTGTGTGTATATACATATTTGTGTGTTTGTGTACGTGTGTGTACGTCTGCATGTGCGCTTGTGTATGTGTGTGTATGCGTGTATGTGTGCGTGCGTGCCGGTTTGTAAATATATAGATATATATGTTTGTGTGTGTGTCGGTGTGCGCGTGTGTGTGTGTGTGTGTGCATGCCTTTTGCAGCGTACATTTGCCATGGTTGAGTTTTGAATCACGCATACAGACACGCACAATCGCTGTGTATGGCATGTTTGTTTGTTTGTTTGCTTGCTTGTCACCGTGGATGTATGGCTGGGTCTGCGCCAAGGGCCCATTTTTTATAGATAACTCTGTATTGGTGTATCCTTGTTTGAGGATACCATCCCTTTTTTGGGCGAAAGTGTAGCCGTACGTGTGCACTGAGGTTGTCCAAAAACCCCGGTAGTCTAGGTTTAGAGTTCGGAGGTTCCTCGTGTCCAACACTTGCATGGCTCATTGCAAAATGACAAGGAGTAAACAAAAGAAACAACATATCGATTTCTTGTCAGCTTGGAAAGCACAGCTTGTTGGGCAGCAAACTGGTGGCTGACCAAAGAAGATAACAAATCGAGAGCAATAGCGAGAACGTGTTGCACACAAATTGCCTTTTGCTGCCAAAGTGTACTTTGCGTACTACATTTGTACTGAAAGGTTGCGATTTTCGAGATGGAGCTGCCAAAGTGTACTTTGCACTTTGTGTGGTACCTTTGTCAAATGAAGTTTAGTTAGACAACTTCTGTACTTTCCCACATGCGAAACACGCGAGGATAAGCAGGTCTCGCCACAGGGTCGGAAAGTTCTCGGCCGCGCAGACTGCTTCAGAGGTGCAAATCGCATGGCAGGCGTAGGACTTTGGCAACCTGAGGTGCAGATTTTCGTGGCAGGCGCAGCATTTTGCTCCCATAAGGTCAAGTGCAAAGCGCAGGTTTCGTGGGCAGGCGCAACACTTTCGCAAGGTGAAGTGCATCATTGTGGCAAGCGCCGCGCTTTAGCAAGGTCAGGTGATAGATTGATCGATAGATATCAAATGGAAAGAGAGAGAGGGAGAAAAAGAAAGAAAAGAAAAGAAAGAAAGCAAACAAGAGAAAGACAGAGAGAGAGAGAAAGAAAGAAAGACAGAAATAACGTTTGTTGAAAAACAAGCAGGGAAAGACAGCGAGAGAGAGAAAGACAGAACGACAGCAAGAAGGTGTTTTTAAACAGGCACACAGAGAAAGACAGAGAGGGAGAGAGAAAGCGAGACAAAGAAAGAAAGACAGAAAGAAAGAAATAAATACAGAAAAGGAAGAAAGAAAGAATGTGAAATAAAAATGAAGAGCGAAAGAGAAAGAGAAAGAGAAATCAAGAAAGGAAGTAAGAAAGGAGCAAAGAAACAAAGATAGCAGTAGACGAGACCAGAAGATAAGGGAAGATCAGAGAAGATGAGAAAATGAGAAGAGACGATACAAGAGCAGAAGAAAAGAGAAGATAAGAAAATAATAAGAGAAGAGAAGAGAAGAACAGAGAAGAGAAGAAACGAGAAGAGAAGAAAAGAGAAGGGAAGAGAAGCGAGGTAAGCCGTGGTTGCTTTACTGGGGTAGGGAGCAGACAGTGGTCGCGTTCTGCGTGAGAGTTGCATGCACACGTGCGACCGCAGCCATTCTTGAGTTTGAGCTAACACAAGGCTGCCACTCAACATTTTAGCGAGCAGAAATCACACACCCCTACACACACACTCGGCAGACAGTCACACACACACACGTTGCAAACAATCACGTCACACACGCGTGAACGTTAATAAAATTTGTGTCGCTTGCGAGCGTGCCAGTTCAGGCCGCTCGCCATGGTGTCGCCTGAGAAGTTTGCAGAATTTGAGAGCTATCTGGAAGAACATCTTGAGCAGCTGCCACAAGTCAAACGGGGCCCCTAGCACTTTCGATGGGGCAGGGATGGGCACATGTCCTTTCTAGAAACTTCCGCCCTCTAGCTCTGCCGTGGTACTGAGGGAGCTGCCAAAGTGTACTTCGCGTGCTACACTTGTGCTGAAAAGTTGCGGTTTTCGAGCTGGAGCTGCCAAAGTGTACTTTGTGTGCGACACCTTGTGCTAAAAGGCCGCGATTTCGAGGTTGAAAGTGCAGAAAGCTCAAAACACTGCAAAACGATAAGGATTTTTTGCTTTAACAAAACCGATAACCCCAGAAACATAACTCTAACAACACAGAGGTTTTTTAGACAACCTCACTTTGGCCTCATTGGCATGGGGCGCGAATCGTTCCTTAAAGCCCAGAACAAACAAGCCCATGCAACATATCCACGCGCACGCCAAAACATGCATACACACAAAATCGCAATTCCAGCCATGCCAGAGAAGTGATCCACTTAGCCACCATTTTGGCTCAAGTTGAACCTCGCTTCCTTCTTGTAGCCATGTGCTCCCCCATGTGTGCCAGAAAGAGTGTCGCAGGCAAAGGCCAAGGCGCGGGCTTCTATGCAACGCTATTTGGCGTCCTTTGTGAAGACGGAAGAGGAACGCGCCGGGCGCGGATCATGCCCCCGACGAGCGCTACATGTCCGGCGTCAATGAGGTGGACCAGATTCCCCTCACCGCGGCGAAGCGCAAGTCAGACGGCGCCGGGAGCTGAACTCAGAGAGGAAATTCTCAGAGGGTGAGCCTGCGGAGGCTGCGCCGCAATTGGAGCGACCTCCGCCTGCACGCGCAAGGTGGATGATGGCGTCTTCACCTTTGGGCTGGCGCCCTGCCCTCGACGCGACCCAGGCGAAAGCCGATCTCGCACCTCAAGTCCTGAAAAAGCCTTCGCGAGGCCACAGCTCAAGCAGGAGGGGGTGCTTCACGGCGAATTGCTTAGCACCGCCTGCGCGTCGCCAAGAAGAGTGCGGCAACGAAGGGAAAAAACGGGCCGGCTAGATTCTTTCCCTTCCGCTCGAAGCGACTTGGTCACGTCGATCTTCACCCCCCTTCCTCCCCACCCTGATGCTCCTTTTTGTGTTAGTGTGAGAGTAGCGCCAACAAGGCGCTTTGGGGAGTTTGAGACGCTCCAGTTAGCACGATGGAGTGGGGACGTTTTGAAAGGATGATTCTGTTTGCTGAGGAGTGGCCAACGGAGTACTGCAAAGGCTACGATGAATCTGGCTTCATCTACTCAGTGCACCGCGGCGGATTTCTGATGCGGGTACTCCCTGGTTCAACGAATCTAACAAACTGCGGCTTGTGGAGGAATCTTTGGGGAGGTGGCAATTGTTTGCCCCCCGTTTTAGGTTGCATGTTAGTTTTTAGGGGGGACCTGCTCAAAGGGATCGCAGCGCCCACGTCCTGTTGTTTATTCCCGTGCACGGGTGACCCTTGACACGACACGCTCGTGTCAGCCATGCTCAACCGCCATCCAAACGGCTGTCCAAACATCGTTTCTCCCCAGCCTATTTGAGTTCCCAAGCTGATTTGGGTTTTGGTTTCCTTGTTTCAGTCGCTCAATACGGGGCCCATGAGCTTCATGCAAGTGATTGTTTTTCGCCCATGGCGTTGCGCACCTTCATGTTTGTTGTGAATTGGCCCGAAATAATTACAGTTGTTTTGGGTGTGATGAAGTTGAACAGAGTCATTGATGTGAATCAATGAAAGCTTGTTGGCCTGGTCTGTGATGGCCTTGCTGGTCGAGGTTCGTGTGCTTGTTCCAAACATGGGAGCACCTTTCTGGGCAGGGATCCAAGGTCCACAATTCTCCCCTGAGCACTTTGGTGCTTGGCGTGCGAATCCCCTGGCTGAAACGCGGAAATCCTGCGATTGTAAGTCGAGGTTTGCCATGTGTGCCGTGGGCCTGCACTGGGGCTTGATGGCGGACCTGGCGGTTTTCTCCACAGGCGGGGAGAACTCATCTTGGGCCAGGCCTTTGGGACCTTCCAAGCCATTGGGGTGTGTCTTCCCAATATTCTGTGGTTTTACAGGAAAAGCAAAAGGAAAGCCACCATTTTGAGGGTCCCCTAACAAGATGCACACCCATGTCAATCCATGCGCCGCGTTTGGATTTTCCGCCCCAACCGAATTGTCAGCTTTCCCAGAGGTCGACAAAATTGGACGAGGCCTGCAAGTGATGAAACAGTTCGCCGGTCGCCGGGAACCCTCTCATGGAAACGTTTGTTTTGCAGGGACGGGAAGGAATCGGGAGGGGGTCAAACGTTGAGACTTGCATAGGTGCACCATGAACATCCGTTGAAGATGGACGATTGTCCTCCATGTTCCATACTAAATGTTAGCATCTTGGTCTTGATCCTACGGTTCGAACTGCTTGACATATTTTGACATAATATGTACTTTGGACCATGCTTCGCACCAACGCCTTGATACTGCAAGACTGCCTGACATACATCCGCCAGAAGCTTCGATGATGTACCACAAAGTTCCTCACTGCCCCTGCTTGGCCAAGGTGCACGTATGCATGCATGGGTTTCGCATCAAATGCTTGCAACTTGCTGTTCAGAGGTGGTTTTGTTCACAGATCGAGCTATTGGAGCTGATGTGCCAACGCGAGCAAACAGGAAGACATCAACAAATCCTCCCAATTGTTCAATGATTGTTCCATTTGTTGGTGCTCAAAAATAAAGATGGTGAACCCACCAGGGTGCATGGTGAAGCCGCGAGGCCTGAGCGCTTTCGTCTTGGTCTGTGTCCACGTGGGGTCTGAGATCGGGAGATTTATGTTCGCCCTGTTGCGCCTCGGCCAATTAGGGCTCACTCCCCAGACTTTGCCGTATGAGCACTTGTGACATGCAGAAACATACTTATCATGCATATTTGTATGCTGCGCACGCACATGCACAAGTGCTATACATACAATATACGCAGCCTCTTCCAAAGGGTGGACATGGTGTCATTTAGGAATCTCACTTTGCGCGTGTTTAAGCACATGTCTGAATGTGCGTATATAATAACATATAACAACAAAGGTACTAAAGATGGGAGCGCTTACACATCTGCTTTATCGCTTGTTTTGTTTGACTCCTTGAAGAGGATCCGGTCACATCAGGCGACGGGGTGCCATTGAATTGATTCGGGATACTCAAGGTGTGAAGCGCATCTTTGTTGAAGTTTTGTTTGTGTGATTGTTTGTGGTTGTGTGTGTATGTGTGTGTGTGTGTGTGTGTGTTTGGGTGTTGTGTGCGTGTGTGTTTGTGTGTACGGTGCACCGAGGTTTCTGCTGACCACCTTTGCCAGTGCCATCACCGTTTTGGAGCATGGCCACTTGGTATCGAGAGTGCGAGAGTGCCCAGATGCCAGTGATTGCGAGCGACTGCATTGATCCGAATCTTTCTGGTCCCCTTTGTTCGGATCGATGCTTATGCAGTCAAGCACTTCGGCCGTATCACTGTTGACCATTGTACGACGTAAACAAGTACCAACTCTTGACATTTACGCTCAGTCTTTGGCACAGCAAAGCCAAAGTCCGCCCAAGTGTTGCACAGGCTATGAGGATATGAAGCAGTTCGGCGAGTCGATGATCTGCTTGTCGGGCATTACATTGCGCCTCTATGAGGATGACTATCGGGACCTCCAGAACGACGCTGGCGCGAGGTTGAGCAAGTAGGTGTTGATTTTCCAATACTCAGAGGCTGCTTGAGCTAGAAATCCCTAGTTTATATATTGAGGCCGTTTGTTGGAGATGTACATTCTACAAATCAAGGTCAGAACAACATGCCGGAAAGATTTGCAGCATGTCAGGTTACATTGACATTCACAGAAAGGCCAAAACTGGGTCGGCAGGCAGGTAGCTAGCTGGACAAGTCGGCAGCCAAAACGTTGTACGCGTGCGGCTTGTCCAGTTTGCAGCTGTTCACGTGAATTCGTCCGCGTTTTGTTAGGTTTCAGTGAAAACTTGGGCTCCGTTGGTCCATTCCTCAAACTCAGTTTGGGCTTTGTTGTTGGAAAGTCAAGTCTGCATATGCTATATTTGTAGAAGATATAAAACATGAGCTGCACCGGCTTATACATTTTTAGCTTTCACGTGCACCTACCGATTCAGATGGAGTAAGAAAGCGGATCAGGAGTTGGTTCGCGTGACAAGCACGTCTCACTGGGATTTCACGGTTCACGCTATCAGCAACATCCGCCAAGTCGCTGTTTGTCTCAGCTGGCTGAGGATCCTGTACTGCTGACTGCCGTTTTCGGCTTCATCACATCCTCTGCCATTTTGCTCCTGAACCTCCTGATCGCCCAGTTGAACTGTTCCTACGTCTACGTCTATCAGAACATGCTGGGCTACGCCAAGCTGAAGCGGTCTTCAGTGTCAGTTGCCTGGAAGCATGGAAGTCGAGTCGGTCTATCACTCTGACTGTACAAAAAAAATAGTCGGATTCAAAGCCAGGTTGTTTTGGCTGCAAAAAAGCAAGTCAGCAAGTCGGATATTCAACGCCGAATTGGTTTTGGCTGTAGGTGCAGACCCTTCGGTACACCAAGCACGAGCGCTGGACTCGCTTCGTGGCCACCTTGGGCTTGGACGTGCCCTTGGAGTTCAACGAGGGCGATGTGGGCATGGCGGGCGGAATCCAGGCGGATTCCGCCCATATGGTTGTTGTTGGGAAACATGTTACATATGTTGCATTTGTTTGCATTTTGCTTATTGTGGTTTAGTGGTTGAAATCCAACCACATTGCTAAAGCTTGAATTGTTGCTCCCCTTCCAACGTCAACCAAGATATGATCTGAGCAATTTTCCACGGTTGGTCAAGGGGCAAAAGGGCAGTGGACATATGAGGCCCCGCATAGGAATATCATTGCGCGCAGCCACATTTTGACATTCGGCTAACAAGTTTTAGCACGAATCACACAGCGAGCACTTTGAGAGCAAAACCTCAACCGCGTAGGCGCACGTAGGCAGTTTAGGGCTGACATACACCTGGCGTAGGCCGTCTTGCATGGTAACACGGCACCCGTAGTCTCACAGGCGATAGCTGGGCCAGAGACGTCAGAACCTTCCAAGCCCCCCTTCTTAAGTGCCTTTCCTGGTGGGTCAAGCCTTTGGCTTTTTTGCCCCGTGGGCAAACAAGTTTCACCAGGGCCAGCATAGAACTTACAGGAAACCCCTGAAATGGGTGGTTGTCTCCCAACATTCCCTGGATTCGTACTCTTTGGTGTGGCCTTTTTTCGTGGTGGCGATGTCCTCCACCAGGAAGGCTTGTAAACCGGGCGGTTTGTTCCAACGACTTGGGTGCATCCACGAGCTGCGGGGCCTTCAGCCGGGCGTGTGGGCGCGTCACTGGCGCTAGGTCATGGAGCCCCAGAGCTTGGCGGTGGTGGCGGCGGATCGGATCCAGCGCTTCGGGGGCAACTGCTCCCCGGAGCTGGAGTGGCCTGCAGACACCACCATCGCTGTGGACGAAGAGGAGGACCCTTTTCTGGCACACCAGGCGAAATCATGTTTCTTTCAGGAGAGGAAAGGATTCCCAAAAAGGGCTTCAAAGTCCAAAGACAAGGGCCAAAAAAATGGAGGCGCCGAACTTCAAAGTCCAAAAAGGGCTTCAAAGTCCAACAAAGTGACTGGGCGCCCCATAGAGTTGAAATCGCCGATTTGTTGTTGACACCCGGGAAGTGGATGAGAGGCCGGAGGGTTTTTTACCAGATGCCAAAGTGCTTTGTGGAGGGTTTGGGGTGTGGTTTTTAAGGGTACACAGGAGCCGTGCACGAGTCAAACCCAAATCGGCTATCGCAAGGGCAAGGTTGGCTGTTTTTTTTTTGCTTGGTGATGATCAGATTGCAAGAGTTATCCTGTTCCAACAATCCATGGAGGTGGATAAGGGGGTTCCCCACATCAAAAGTAGCCTTCCAAAAGCCTCCTGTCGGCTTCCATGATTGTTGGAGGGTGGGTACTTGTTGTCTTGCTAGCCTTTACACATAGCGACCATGGCGCGTTCTGGCGCATGCTGCCTCAAGCCTGCCCTGGAAGACTAGCCAAGCCAGCTGCAGATGGCCTGCCGGACTAGTTGGGTTCAAAGCGTTTCCCAATCGTTTCCTGTTATAGACCATATAGCACATGACCATTGTTGGAACGCAAAGCATGTGATCATTCAATGGCTTGTGGCAACATGCCGGCTTTTGCATTTGCCAGCATAAGTTTTCCAGGGACATCCAGGAGCTTTGCCAAGATTTATAGTGAGTGGCAGTCTTTGCTTGGGCCTCCAAAAACGCGGAAAGCCTAGTTTGTCAGGATCCTGCTTGTTCAGAATCAGCGCAAGTAAGCTTGTTCCAGTTGGTGCCCTGCCGAAATTGCCAGCGGCATGTAATGTTTTTGACGGGAACGGGTGGGCTTGGGTTCGTTTTGGTTTCCCCTTAGCCCCCACTAAAAATGTCCATCCGACCCCTCCAAATGAGCGGTCTCCGGTTCTTTTTGCCCCCCCCCCCGCCCCCCTGCGCACAGAGCCAACGGTCGGACACCATTCTAGGGGTTGATTCCCCATTGATTCAGCCATCGTTCTTTTCAAAATTAGTCATTTCCCCAGGGTTTGGTGGTTTTCTGGAAAGAAGGATCCCTGAAAAGAATGGGGAAGCTACCCCTAGAACCATGTTGCCTCGAAGTGATGAGCCGATTCGAGGAGAAGCTCGCAGCTTTAGAGCACCTCTTGCACATCACCCTGACAAAGCTCCGGAAGGGAGGAGGGAGCACTGACAAGGATTCCAAAGAAAAACACTCGTTCCTCTCCGAAGACTGAGAAAACTTCATATCGTCAGATCTCACACTCGACTCGTGTCCGCGAATGTGCGGCGAGCGAAAAAAAGATAAAAGGGCTTGAAGGGAGGAGTCCCTTGGCATTCCGATTATGAGGTTCATGTCTCAGAGGCTCCATCATAGCAGTGTAACCCATATGTAATCGGGGCCCCCTAGTTTAAACCTGATCAAACACCAACAAAACTCGTTTTTTGATTATTAGGGTTCCCCGGTTTTTTGCCAGAACTGTTTCACACAGCGCTGTTTAGTATCGGGTTCCAATTGGGAAAGAGGGACCCTTTTGATTTCTTTGCAAACAAAATGCTCAGAACGCAACTTTGAGCGAGAATGAAAGGAAAGGGAGCCCTTTGATTTGCAAAAACAGAGTTGATATCCTGAACTTCCTCAACATCCATTACTTGCGAATGAATTCGGGTGGCTCCTAACAAGCACATTTGGGGAGCCTGGCTGGGTTCTTTGGTTGCCAGAGATTAGTATTGGTTTAGGATTCAGTAATTTGAATTGACAATCTTGTGGTCGGCTGGAGGTGTTTTTTGTTGTTGGGGGGTTGTTTTATAAATAAGAAGGAGTGATTGATCACTGGAGTCTCTGGGAACATAGCTGCAACTCGACTCAATCATCAGCCTTGGTGGTATGCCGGGCTGTGACAAGCTACCTCAAGATGATAGCATTTGGAGGTTAGCTTTTCCCTTTGCTTCTTGTGGGGGGGGCTTACATTTAATGTCGTCGTCCGTGCCGCTCTCCTCCTTCTTTTCCTCCTCCCCCTCCTCCTGCTCCTCCTCCTGCTCCTCCTCCTCGCGCTTATGCTTCTCCCGCACCCTCATCCTCTTCTCCTCACTCACTCAACTTACGCATACTTGCTCTCACTCACTCAACTTACACAAATGCCGATGCCGAATTGCGAGGCAGGCGCAGTACCTTTGTACACGCCTTGTTGCTTTGCTTGACAGGCACAGTACTTTAGACTGGTTTGCGCGGGACGAGTGTCGCGGTAGTTGGGGGAGGTGCTGTTTGCGAGGCAGACGCAGCGCTTTGCGCGTATGCGTTCTGTTTCTTACGTGATGCGGGCTGTTCGAACGGCCGACACAGCACTTTGCGCACGCTAATGCTGGATGGCATGGCAGGCGAAATACGTTGCGCGTCGTTTCTGTTTTGCGTGACAGGCGCAGATAGGCGCAGTACTTTGGATTGGTTTGCGCGCCTTGGGGATGCGGGCTCGTTCGAGCGACCAGCGCAGTTAGGATTGGATAACCCCAACTGCCTAGCTTTTCACATGCTTTTCACAGCGGGGGCTTTGCTTGATGTGGTGTATACCGAATGAGTGATAGAAATGTTTGTTTGTTGTCAAATAACTCTAACAGCAATCTAGCTCTAGCATCAGCATCGGCGTGCGTAAAGTACTGTGCCTGCGACGTAATCCAAGGCGCGCAGTTTCCGCAGACCAGTTGTCAAATTTGCAGAGCGCAGCCCCTGCCCCAAAGCCAAAGTTTCTTACTTTTGTTTTGGCTCATTTGGTTCTACCGTTCTACCATGGCTGCTTTGCCCTTGTCGCTTCGTGGGAAACGCCGGCGGCAAGCACAAGCCACGCGCACTTGCCTTTTGTTAGCCGTTTGAGCCCTTTGACTGCAACGCCCAATTTGGCAGATTGAAAGTTCCGAGGGTTGGTGAGTTGGTGGGTGGGTGGATGGGTGGGTGAGTCTGTCCGTGCGTGTCTGAGTGTGTCTGTGTGTGTTTGTGTGTGTGTGGATGTGTGTGTGTGTGTTGGTGTTAAAGGAATCTGTTCCATCCAAGCTGACTTCCCTTTTCAATGAGTGTCCCCAAGTTTGAGGAAGCCCCCTCGTGGATACCTGTCATTTCCTTTTGCGACTCTTGCGTCGTACCTTAGAAAGTTGGTGAACTGCTCGCTGCGGTTTTCCAACTTGTTATTTTGCGCCGTTGTTGGTTTGCTTCTTAGTAAGGAATGAAGCAGGGTTTTGGGGATGAGGCAGAAAGGGGTCTCCCAAAAAACCACCAGGAATGGTTCAGTTCAAAGTCATTCTCTCCTTCCGTGCTCTGAAAACCATACTGTGGACAAGATCCATTTGGCACTACTTTGAAAACATGGTTGAGCCCGCTGTT